GGTCTTGTGTTTAACCGTGGCCTGGTTGATGACAGGATAGCCATCTCCCTATCAAATGCCATTAGATGTTATTTGATAGAGAACATAATTATAGTTTCTGTGGCAAAATGTAATATATGTTTTTACTTGCATTTGTAATTTGAACATTTAAAACAAATATTAAAGAGACACAATACTGACATTCAATATCCGGAACTGTTGCCCCACCAAAAAAACAAACAAACAAACATGAAAAGTAAAACCAAATTGTGTACAATTTCAATTGAAACCAAAAAATAATAAGAAAAATAATGTCAAGGGCATGCAACTAGGGGCATCAAATGAAAATCTCATTTAAAGCGAGAGGGTCGTCACCTGCACACGCGTGGGAATTGAATCCTAAGCGATGATAACAACACACGGTAAGAATGCAAAGGCTGGTAGATAGAAGCTTGTTTGTAAACAATGACACGATATTGCCACCTGACGCATGCGTAGGTGACGACTCCCCCCGCTTTAAATAAGAATGTGATTTCCGTGAATTCTTAAAACTAATAGCATTTCAATTGGTCTTCATGATTGGGTCAACATTTTTTACTTATCTCATGTGACTGCAGGATTGTCCAAAACAAACATAAATATTGGGCCTTAGCTTAAAGCGAGAGGGTCGTCACCTGTGCAGGGGCAGGAATTAAGTACCAAGTGACGATAACAACATGCGCTAAAAACACAAAGGCTCATGCTATGGCCATCTGACTCATGCGCAGGTTACGTCTCCCTCGCTTTAATGATTGGTCGGTGGTTTTTAGCTGGTATTATAATTTCTGTTAAAAATATCAAATTATTAAATGTAAGATTACCTTGGTGTGCCTTGTTAGTATCGGCAGTCAATAGTGTCAAGCAGTCCAAAGTATCTGGAGTCAATAGTGTTAGGCAGTCAATAGCGTAATTAGTCAACTACATATCAGCATTAATGATGTATTATTTTTAAAATATACCGTAATTATATAAAAAACAAACATCCACATTCACTTGTTGATAACTTGATAATTGTATTTCTTAAGCCAAATTATATCATGTATTTGTAAGAAGCTAATGTCAAATAGACAAGTGTTAAGTCGTCTATTCTTGTAATTCATGTAGTTAATAACCTGTAGCTAATACTGAGGACTTGTGATGGACAGTGATGGATATAGGTTTCATTTCATGAAGAGCTAAGATTTTTTGTTTGTTTACAAATTGTGTGAGAAACTCTAATTTTTATCTCAATATCATCAGAGATAATTCTAAAAAAAAAACATACCAAAAAACCAGATAGGAGAATCATTTTCCGGAATTACTTTGTTGTCTGCATAAATTCAGATTTCTGTGTTTATGTAACTGTGAGTAGAAAAAAATTTCATTTCACTCCTCTACTCCTTTGAAAAAAAACCAATGAATACACAGAGCAAGTTATTTATTTGCCTTTCCTTCAGCATAACAGTTGTATATAACAGCAGCAATGTAGATAAGGGGCAGATCATTTGATATCCAGGGGGGCCAGGAAAATTGAAATGAAGCCTACTTTTTTTTTTTTCCTATCTGATATGGAATTTTTTTTTTTCAGCAGACCTTGTCTCTAATGTTTACATCCATAGGATTTTGTTTTCAAGCATTGTCATAAAATTTTTGTTTTTTCACAAAATCTTCCTGGCCCCTCCAGGATATCAAATGGATTGCCCCTAAGGGACAGTCTGCAATCTATACGTTAATAACCAATTTAATTCTTGTCACTTTATTTATTTATAATTTTTTTATCTCATTTGACAACTTACCAATGGACAGTACAATACTGTCTGTTGTTTATCTTATTTCTCATCAGTTTTGTAGCATATTAAAGGAAATTGTCATTTCTAAATTATTAAAATTGTTATGAATTATTTGTGTGTGTGTGTGGTGTGATTTTTCACTGTAATTGAACTGTTTTGTTTATTGCGCAAATATTTTAAATCCAGTGTTCTGTACAATATATTACAGAAACAACCAAATAAATTTTCAGCGGCTGAGCATCTGCCAATCCAGATGAATTGATAGGCTATACCGCATTAACTAACTGTCATCAAGTTTAAAAGCGAGATGACACAGAAAACATTCCGATTTCTTTTTGTTGATTTCCTGTGTTTACTGTCCTTTTTCTAAAAAGTATATGGTTGTTTCACACAGCAAATCCTTCTATTTTTGTGGTAAACATTGACTTTTTGTTAAATGTACATGTAATTAGCTTGGTATAAAAATCTTCGAAGCAAAAAGAACCGTCTCTGATTAATTAGGTGACAAATTATAACAACAATGGAAGCATTTCTTTGATAGGTGACCCATGGCTAAGAGATCTATTTCAAATTATGTGGTTGACAGAACTTGTATTACATCAACCGACCAGTGATCGAGGTCAGTTTAATTTAAAAACATGTTTTTCCAATGCTAAAAACTTTTGTGAGACATTTCACTACTCAATTCTTCTCCATGTGAACAGTATCCACTAACAAGTCGAATGACTCGCTATCAACAAAATCCCTGCAGCCATTTATGTCAATAAACAGGACACCTATATTTGTTTTGTCAATTTTGTACTGCGCCGAATAAAAAAGAAATGTTGATTTTGTAATATCAATAACACCTATTCTATTCTATTCTATTCTATTCTATTCTATTCTATTCTATTCTATTCTATTCTATTCTATTACCAATTCATTACATGTGAGGCTTTGTCATTTACGATTGATTGACTGGCATGTATTACTGTGGAATACTTTATTTTCGCTGGAATTAATTTTCGCTGAAAAGGCTTTTTGGGCGTTTTGTATGGAATTTATTTTCACTGATTTTTGATGAGTTTAATGTGAAATATTAGAAAAAAAGTATATTCGCTGGATTTTATTTTCACGGAATCATCCCTCCAGCGAAAATAGCGAAAATAAATTCCAAGCGAAAATAAAGTATTCTACAGTAGTTCAATTTTATTGGCTTAGACCCAAGGTTAGCCTGACATGAAGGCGTGAGTAGTTCTTCGCCAACCAAACGACATCAGACCTGTGTTGGGTTTGGAGCACCACAGAGGGCGCACCTCGCGCGACTCGTCGTGCTAACCCAAGGTGTATGCATACACATATTTACGATTCACCTAATATAGTGCCCAGATGTGTTGTCGCAAACTCAAGAGAAAAAAACATGAATTTACGCTTGGAATAAATATAATCTGATACATTCCTAATCCCTAATCTGTAAATTGAATATTAGTATAATCTTGTACCATTTGGTCTGCATTCACTCTGTCATTTTGCATTATAACATTTTTAGTCTTAGGACTTGTGTTTTGACCGCCGTGCGTGCGTCTGTGCGTGCGTCTGTGCGTGCGTCCGGACCTGTATCTTAGAAATGCCTGGACCTATCACAATCAAACTTCACACATACATCATACATGATATTATACATATGCACGTCAATTTGTTTCTTGATCTGATTCAAGATGGCCGAATAGCAGCCATTTTTGTGTAAAAAATAATCAAAGTCAAGCAGTTCTCGGCTGTTTACAGATGGATTTTGTTCAAACTTGGTATATACATTACACTTTACAGGACCTTGATGCACATCGTTTTGTTTTACGATCTGATTCAAGATGGCCAAATGGCGGCCATTTTTGTTCTAAAAATCATCAAAATCAAGGATTTCTCAGCTGTTTGCAGATGGATTTTATTCAAACTTGGTATATACATTAGACATTATAGGATATAGATGCACATCATTTAGTTTTATGATCTGATCAAAGATGGCCGAATGGCGGCCATTTTTGTGCTAAAAAATCTTAAAAATCAAGCATTTCTCGGCTGTTTACAGATGGATTTTGTTCAAACTTG